CAAAAAATCAATTATTAATTAATAATCAGTTATACTTTTCCAAAAATAAGAAATTCAAATGCTACCGTTTTGCTTACATATAAAAGTATATTTCTTAAATATTTCTCTTCTTTATATTTCACTTATTACCTTTTATTTTTGTAGTTTATATATATATATATATATACACACACAAAAAAAAAAACTAAACTCCTGCTACTCAAAAAAAAAGATGAAGTTTAAAAATTAAAAAGAATAAGTTATAAATAAATTACAAAAAAAATAAAAATCTCTAAAAATGAGCGTGATAGAAATTTATCAGAATTTAAGAAGTGTTTTATTTTTTAATAAATGAAAGAAATTTAGGAGAATGAAAGAAAAATTTTAAAAAAATTAACTAATAGTATTTTATTAATGATAAAAAATAAAATATTTTAATTTTTTTCAACATTTAACAACAAATTAAATGAAATTAATTGAGAAAAAATGGGAAGAACATATTCATGGTAATAAAAGGAGACATAAATAAAACATACATATTTATAAAAGATAATAGAAATAGAAGGTACAATGTAAAAATTATGGAAATAAGGATCAGAGTTAAATACATTTCTTTTTAGAAAATTATAAAAATAGAAGGTAGAAAAAAGAATTTCAATAAAAATAACAAATTGTAGTAATGATAAAGAAAAATGAAAATTAATAAATTGTAATAATGATGAGAAATTTGATTTTTTTTTTTCCAGATTTCATAGATTAGAGAAAATAAAAAATTAAAATATGTAACAAAATAAATGACTGCAAATTAAACTTAAATTTTAATTATATTACATGAAATATTTTCTTTTTAAAGAAAAAACACAAATGTTCTATCAAGGTTTATTAATCAATAAAAATTTAAAAATAGTACAACTATCAATTCCAAAAGTGGATCGATTCTCAATAATCAAAAAGGAAAATAAATTATAGCACTAACTAAATTTAAAAAAAGAAAAGTAAATAAACAAATGCAAAAGAATGACAAAAGCTTCAGAGATTTTCAAACTCCATATTTAGTCGTCTTCTTCGATCAGGAGCGCAGAAATCCATGGCTATCTCGACACCATCTATTCATCCGACTTTCATCTTTTACAAACAATCTCATATCCAACATGTAGCAATCTAATGGTATGGTTTATATAGTATTCAAAAAGTTAATGTTAAAAAACTTTTCAAATTCTCTAATTAAGTGTAAAGAATAAATTTTCTAAAAAAAATTTTAAGGTAAGAATTTGATAACTGAAGCTTTTATGTATGATTTAATGAGGGAGTGATTAAATACTATGCTTTAATATTTTATGAAAATATTTAATAATATTTTATATTTTAAAATGAAAAAAGAAACTTTACACAAAAAATCTGCAATAAATAAATAAAAAATCCAGCCCTTAGAGGCATGTCACATCAGCAATTCTTGATTCAGATTTATATATATATATATATATATAGATTTAATAAGGGTAAATTACTTAGGTATGCTATATTGAAAAAATATTTACTATTTATGACAATAATTTCTTTTTAATGATCTATAAATATACTTTTTTCTAAAAAGGAAAAAAGATAACAATTTTTTATCTTTAAATATTCATATCTTCAAATCGATTTCTACCCATGTTTCACGATATACTCTCAAAATATCACGAGGAAAAAGAATACAAAGATTTAAAAAATTGTACAAAATCGTGTGCGCAAATTTGTACTAGCATGTTATATGAAGAAGAGAGGCGAGAGAGACTGGGAGAGAGGCGAGAGAGACTGGGAGAGAGAAGAGAGAGGCGAGAACGAGGGGGAAATGGAAGAAAGGTGAATTGTATATGTATATTGGTTAGATAATTGTATATTATACATATGTATTTGTATATATGGCTAGAGAGATTAAGAGAAGGAGGAGAGAGGCCAACGAAACTGGAAAAGAGGCGAGCGATATATATATATATATATAAAGATACTTAAATACAAAAATAAGCTCTCTCTAGCCTGCATTGTAGTGCACCAATATCATACGCTACGTAAAATATTATATATTGAATATAAAAAATAAACAAAAAAAAAAAGTCCAAAATGGTTTAACAATTATTATTATTATTATTATTATATTATCTTACTTGACAGGCAGGGCAAACAAATTTGGACCAGTCAAATATGGTAGTGTGATTATGATTTTGTCAATTTGGACACACAAAATAAATAAATAAATTATATTTGTGGGCTTGCAAAATTTCAAAAACATGTCTGCTTGAGCAAGAAGAAAATACTTTTTTTTTTTAAAAAAAAAAACTTATTACAAAAAAAATAATTAAGAAGTTATTTCAAGATTTTTGGTTTTGTGGAAAGTTGTGTTTTCTTGTAAATTTATATTGATGTGCATTTTTAGTGTAATTTAATATGTCGTATTATTTTTATCAAGATACTTCCATTGTTAATCAATTAAATTTTATTTTGATTTATCTTAAAAATAAAAAACCTTAAATAATAAGTATCTTATTCTAAAATTAAAAAAAAAATTATCAACATAAATTTAAATTAATCGAATAGATAACAAAAAGACTATTGAGGTGGGGGAGACTTAATGGAGGGGCAATAAGAGGTTGCTTTACTTGTACTTCATTACTTTGCACCTCTATTGACTCCCTTTATTTCATTTTTCGATTCATATTCACACCTCTTTAATTATATATAACGTTAAATTAAATTTGTTATATAAAATAAAATAATAAGTAATTTTTAATCGTTAATCAGATGTTATATTATGTTTGGACATGTCTTTTATTTGAAAAAATTAAAATTTTATAAATGGAAGTGAACCTAAAAAAAATTGAAGACAAAATTTTAACTTCCAAATAATTAAACTATGTATTTTGACATTTTATGTATAAAATATTTTACATTTAGACTATATTTGGATTTCAAATATGGAGTAGTACAAACTCAATAACACACATTGAGTAACTACATTGTTTATGATTCATTAAATTTATGAATATTTAGAAGCAAAGAGATCAAACTAAATTTTTTAAAACTAGTTTTAAAGATTAAATGTTCTTAGTTTAACATTACAAGCATGAAAATTAAATTTTGTTGATGTTCAAAGGATTAAAAGCTCAAAATTCCTATATATATATATATATATAGGAATTTTCAGTTTTAAAAATAATCGAACTTTTAAGAAGAAAAAAATTCCAAAGTAATGTAGGTTTGGTTTATTTGCCAAAATAAATTTTCTTATGAGTATGATTGTGATATAATGAAGTGAATTAGTTTCAATTATAG